ATTATAGTGATCATATTAACATTAGTACAACACATTAGAGCAAGGAAATCCATATTATTTTTTCTACGTTTTCTTTATAGGCGAAAAAAATTGACATTCAAGAGGAATTCGCTCTGAGTCTCAGGCTAGTAAGATTGATACCAGGATCTGGATCCTCTGATTGCAAATATGATGCTAGCTCTGCCATGTATTCTTTGCCACCTCATAGCCATGCCTGTCTTTACTCCCTGTGTCTCCATCACATTGGGATAGGCCGCTGGTATTGTTCCCAATCCTAGAGGCTTCGCTTTGGATCTGCGAGAGCTGAGGGCTTTTATGAAAAGGGTAATTGCTGTCTTAAGGGAGCTTGCAAGTTTTGAAACAAGTTTATTGTGTTTTAGCCTTTATTATCGTTGCTTTTTGTTATTTTAATGGATTTAAAAAAATTTTTTTATATGTTGTTACCCAGCCTTCTAAGTTTGGAGGATAAAATGGTAAATGTCAGGTCCGCTGTCTACTTTAGATAAAAGATACATTTTCATGAAATCATAGATCTCTATGATGATATTTCCCCACAAACACATTTTGTTTCCTCAGTATTGTGATGTAAAATTAGATGAAAAAGAATCTCTTTACAATATCTTAAAAATACTGCCTTAACTACACAGGAGAGTTTTAATCACATTGTTTTTCGTAATAGCCTGGCAAAGACTTAGGCCAGTGAATCATTTTGGCATCCCTGAATTTTTAATTCCAGGCAGAAAAAGACTAGTTACTAACGGGTTAAATGATTGGCTCATAACTCATGATGAGTTGTAACATATCTAGGTGGAGTCATCTACTTTACACTTGATGAGACCTTATTTTTACAGCCTGTTGACACAGAAAAACTTTTTCGCATGCCTTGAAAAGCACTATCGGGTTAGTTGACCTCTGAAAGTCCTTCAAACTCTAGTGTAATTCTCTGATGCTGTAAGTCCCTGATATTAGATAGACTGACTTTCTTCAGTCATTCAAACGAGACTATGTGTGCAAAGACCCAAATGGTGTTAGGCACACAGTAAGCTCTCCATGAATTCTCATGTCCTCTTTAGTAATTTATCAAGTTACGTTAACATCTAGCTGCATTTAGTGGTGGATTTCATCATTACTGATTGAACAATCACACCACACCAGAGTTTTAGGCTTGTAGGGCGCAGTTATCTGTAGTCAGATCTTTGTTGGATTATTCGAGAGGATAAACAAGAGGATAAACAGATGCGATTCTAGATTAAAAATATCCAATCAAGCTTTGAATCTGCTCACCAGCCAACAACTAAGAAATGTGATACTTGGAAATCCAGGGAGCCAGGCAAAAATCCATCCTGCTCTAAACGTAACTAGCACCCTTTTTGAAAGCTGAAGCTGGGCAGCAACCACAGAGTAGTTATTGATCAGCTGGCATGAAGTATTAATCAATTCGGCTGTTAAAATTTTCCAACCTTTTGTAAATCATAACCAATGACCAGACGCAACCGAAAAATGATGGTTTTTAGAATTTTATGCGAGCATTTAGAGAAAAAAAACAAGCACTTTCGAATAAAAAAGTGGAGTGAAGAAACAGCATATTTGTTTTCTATGCTCATTATTTAGAATTAAAAGACCTCGATACTCAGCTACTAAATTCCATTGACTGATATTTTACATTATAAAAATGGTTTTACTTGTTTCATTTATACACTGGCTGCATAAGTGCTTATAATCTCCATATAAATAAATACACTGCTTATAGTGTATATAAGCAGCTTATATTCTCCGTAAAGGCAATATCCCCGCTTTAAAAACTTTCCT